ACGCATCAGCTAACTAGCTGCTAGTGTGTCACCCAAAATAATAATAAATAATAATAATAATAATTATAAAAGTAATTTATCAGTGAGTGACATATATTTTTTCATTTCTTAATTTCTCATCAAGTCGCGAGCAACATTTAGTATACAATATACAGCAAAATACCATCCACAGATTTCGGTTCTGTATATTGTTATCTCTGTCACACATTACCTATTTCACTTTTATTCTTTTAGTGTTTTGATTGACTTTAGCATTAAATGTTTATTTAATCGTTTAATTTTGCATATTTTCAGGATTCAGCGTGTTCAGTGCCTCAAGAGGACATCGGCTTGGCCTGGGACGGCGTCTGTTTCGCTTTCCTAATACTGCAGCGACGACTTTTCCATAGTTACTACTTTTATAGAGTTATCGATGAAAGCAAAGCTACCACTGTACTTGCTTCCAGGTAAATTTTATTAATATAGATTACAGATAGACAGATAAAATAATTTACAATATATTTTCGTAAACTTAAAACATAATTAATTTAGGGGAGCTGAATTGATTGAAGAGTTACGCCAAAAGCAAATGCAAGTCCAAGAGGAACAGGAAATTAAAATATTAGAAAAGATCAAAGTAAAGATGGAGAGAATAAAAGCTAACCAAAAGAAGATTCAAGGCGCAATGTCCAAGGAGCCTCTGCAGCATGACGCTGGTAAAGTCATATATTTTTTGGTAGAATATAAAATAAATTTTAACGGTCATGTTTTCAGTATAAGATAAATTACGTTACATTGAAATTACAAAATCGAATATTAGATTATAACATAAACAAAACTAAAATCTATTAAAGGGTTGTTATTATTGAGAAAAGAAGAATGTTATCGGCAGTAAATTTAACATGTTTATCAATGTTAAAACACAAACTTTTAATAATATTAATCTACGCCGCTGACAATAAAGTGGAAGAGGAGGAGGAAGAGACGCAACAGGGAGAGTCTGAGGTGCCGCTGGTGCGAGGGGAGTCCGAGGTGTCGCGCGGCTTCCATACGCCTGACAGCGCCG